AAGGAATTTTGGGGTTTTTCCCCAGGAATTTGCGTCAGAAAACCCCAAAATTCCTTGGAAAATCCCCAAAATTCCTTCAGGAAATCCCCAAATTCCTTAAGAAATACGAAAATTCCTTGGGAAATCCCAAAAATTCCTCGGAAAAAACCCCAAATTCCTTAGGAAATCCCCAAAATTCCTTAAAAAATCCCCAAAATTCTTTAAGAAATGCCAAAATTCCTTGGAAAAGCCTCAAAATTCCTTGGAAAAACCCCCAAATTCCTTGGAAAAACCCCAAAATTCCTTGGAAAAACCCCCAAATTCCTTGGGAAAACCCCCAAATTCCTTGGGAAATCCCAAAAATCCATTGGGAAATCCCAAAATACCTTGGAAAATCTCCAAAATTATTTAAGAAATCCCAAAATTCCTTGGAAAAACCCCAAAATTCCCTGGAAAAACCCCCAAAATTCCTTAAGAAATCCCAAAATTCCTTGGGAAAACCCCCAAATTCCTCAGAAAACCCCAAAAATCCATCATGAAATCCCAAAATTCCTTGGAAAAACCCCCAAATTCCTTGGGAAATCCCAAAAATCCATCGGGAAATCGCAAAATTCCTTGGAAAATCTCAAAATTCCTCAGAAAACCCCAAAAATCCATTGGGAAATCCCAAAATTCCTTGGAAAATCCCCAAAATTATTTAAGAAATCCCAAAATTCCTTGGAAAAACCCCAAAATTCCTTGGAAAAACCCCAAAATTCCCTGGAAAAACCCCCAAAATTCCTTAAGAAATCCCAAAATTCCTTGGGAAACCCCCCAAATTCCTCAGAAAACCCCAAAAATCCATCGGGAAATCCCAAAATTCCTTAGAAAAACCCCCAAATTCCTTGGAAAACCCCAAAATTCCTTGGAAAAACCCAAAAATCCATTGGAAAAACCCAAAATTCCTTGGAAAAACCCCAAAATTCCTTGGAAAAACCCCCAAAATTCCTTGGAAAAACCCCAAAATTCCTTGGAAAATCCCAAAATTTCTTTGAAAAATCCCCAAAGTTCCTTAAGAAATCCGGAGGCTCAGGATTTTGGGAATTTTCTAGGAAATTTTGGGATTTTTTAATGGAATTTTAAGGATTTTTTTAAAGGAATTTTTGGAGATTATTCCAAAATTGTTTGGGATTTTCCAAAGAATTTTGAGGATTTTCCAAGGAATTTTTTGTGATTTTCCAAGAAATCTTTGAAATTTTCCATCAAATTCTGGGAATTTTCCAAGTATTTTTTAAAAGATTTTGGGAATTTGCAAGGATTTTTTTTTTTTTTTAATTTATTTATTTTTAGGGATTTTCCAAAGAATTTTCCAAGAAATTTTCCAAAGAATTTTAAAGAATTCCCAATAAATTTTTTTTTTAGGATTTTCTGGGTAATTTTTGGGGCTTTTCCAAGGAATTTCTGAGGAATTTTGGGGATTCCAAAGGGATTTTTGGGGGGATTTTCCATAGAATTTTGGGGAGATTTTAATGGAATTTGGGGGGGAATTTCCATGGAATTCCCCAAGATTTTTTCCAAACAATTTTAGGAATTTCCCAATAAATTTTTTAGGACTTCCTGGGGAATTTTTGGGGCTTTTCCAAGGAATTTTTGGGATTTTCCAATGGGATTTTTGGGAAGATTTTCCATGGAATTTTGGGAGGATTTTCCAAGGGATTTGGGGGGATTTTTCATGGAATTTTGGAGGATTTTCCATGGAATTTTGGGGTGGATTTTTCAAAGGAATTTTGGGGGTGATTTTCCATGGAATTCCCCAAGATTTTTTCCAAAGAATTTCAGGAATTTCCCAATAATTTTTTTTTTTTAGGGTTTTCTGGGAAATTTTTGGGGCTTTTCCAAAGAATTTCTGAGGAATTTTGAGGATTTTTCCATGGAATTTTCCAAAGAATTTTAAAGATTTCCCAACAAAATTTTTAGGACTTCCTGGGGAATTTTTGGGGCTTTTCCAAGGAATTTTTGGGATCTTCCAAAGGGATTTTTGGGAAGATTTTCCATGGAATTTTGGGGGGATTTTTGTGGAATTTTGGGGATATTTTCTATGGCATTTTGGGAGGATTTTCCATGGAATTTTGAGGATGTTTTCAAGGAATTTTTTGGGAGATTTTTCCATGGATTTTTGGGGAGATTTTCATGGAATTTTGAGGAGATTTTCATGGAATTTTGGGGTGGATTTTCCATGGAATTTTGGGGTGGATTTTTCAAAGGAATTTTGGGGGTGATTTTCCATGGAATTCCCCAAGATTTTTTCCAAAGAATTTCAGGAATTTCCCAATAATTTTTTTTTTTTAGGGTTTTCTGGGAAATTTTTGGGGCTTTTCCAAAGAATTTCTGAGGAATTTTGAGGATTTTTCCATGGAATTTTCCAAAGAATTTTAAAGATTTCCCAACAAAATTTTTAGGACTTCCTGGGGAATTTTTGGGGCTTTTCCAAGGAATTTTTGGGATCATTTTCCATGGAATTTTGGGGGGATTTTTTGTGGAATTTTGGGGATATTTTCTATGGCATTTTGGGGGATTTTCCATGGAATTTTGGGAGGATTTTCCATGGAATTTTGAGGATGTTTTCAAGGAATTTTTTGGGAGATTTTCCCATGGATTTTTGGGGTGGATTTTCCATGGAATTTTGGGGTGGATTTTCTGTGGAATTTTGGGGTGGATTTTTCAAAGGAATTTTGCGGGTGATTTTCCATGGAATTCCCCAAGATTTTTTCCAAAGAATTTCTGAGGAATTTTGAGGATTTTTCCATGGAATTTTCCAAAGAATTTTAGAGATTTCCCAACAAAATTTTTAGGACTTTCTGGGGAATTTTTGGGGCTTTTCCAAGGAATTTTTGGGAAGATTTTCCATGGAATTTTGGGGGGATTTTTTGTGGAATTTTGGGGATATTTTCTATGGCATTTTGGGGGATTTTCCATGGAATTTTGGGAGGATTTTCCATGGAATTTTGAGGATGTTTTCAAGGAATTTTTTGGGAGATTTTCCCATGGATTTTTGGGGTGGATTTTCCATGGAATTTTGGGGTGGATTTTCCATGGAATTTTGGGAATTCCTCACCTCTGGAAGGCCCGGAAGCAGCGCTGGAGCCGCCGCAGCTCCGACTTTTCCCGGGAGAGCACTCGGGAATGCAGGAATTCACAGACGGAATCCAATTCCCGGGAATCCAGGTCTCCGTAGGCTCGGAAGAAGAAGGAGAATTCCTGGAATTCCACCTGGATCCCGGAGTTTTTTCCTGCTGGGATTTGGAGTTGGAGTTGTTGGAATTCCCGGGGAATTTCTGGGATTTTTCCCAGAATTCCCAGAATTTTTCCCACTGAATTCCTGGAATTCTCGGAGCCTTTCTCAGAGAATTCCCCCAGAATTCCTGCTGGATTCCCATGGAATTCCCAGAATTTTTCCTGCTGGATTTCCCCTGAATTCCCAGGACCTTTCCCATTGGATTTCTCCAGAATTCCCACAGAATTCCCGGATTTTTCCCCACAAAAATTCCAGATTTTTTCTGGTTGGATTTGCACGAAATTCCAGAAATTCCTTTCCCACTGGATTCCCATGGAATTCCCAGATCTTTTCCCACAGGATTCCCACAGAATTCTGGAGAAATTTGGGAAAACTTGAGGAATTCTGGAAAACTTTGGGGTAAAAATCGGGGAGTTCTGGGGAAAATTGGGGAATTCTGGGAAAAGTTGGAGTTAAAATTGAGGAATTCTGGGGAAAGTTGGAGTAAAAAATGGGGAATTCTGGGAAAATTTGGAGTTAAAATTGGGAAATTCTGGGAAAAGTTGGAGTAAAAAATGGGGAATTCTGGGAAAATTTGAGGAAAATTGGGGAAATCTGGGAAAAAATCAGGAAAAAACCAGGAATTCTGGGAAAATTTGGAGTTAAAATTGGGGAATTCTGGGAAAATTGGGGAATTCTGGGAAAAGTTGGGGGAAAAATTCCCACAAAATTCCCGCCAGATCCCCCCCAGAATTCCCACAAATTTTTCCTGCTGGATTCCCAGAATTCCCAGAACCTTTCCCACAGAATTCCTGGAATTTTTCCTGCTGGATTCCCAGAATTTTTCCCCACTGGATTCCCACAGAATTCCATTATTTTTCCAGCCAAATTCCCACAAAATTCCCGCCAGATCCTCCCAGAATTCCTGCAAATTTTTCCCGCTGGATTCCCAGAATTCCCAGAACTTTTCCCACAGAATTCCTGGAATTTTTCCCACAGAATTCCTGGAATTTTTCCTGCTGGATTCCCAGAATTTTACCCCACTGGATTCCCACAGAATTCCCATTTTTTCCCCACTGGATTCCCACAGAATCCCATTATTTTTCCAGCCAAATTCCCACAAAATTCCCGCCAGATCCTCCCAGAATTCCTGCAGATTTTTCCCGCTGGATTCCCAGAATTCCCAGGACTTTTCCCACAGAATTCCCGGAATTTTTCCCGCTGGATTCCCAGAATTCCCAGAACTTTTCCCACAGAATTCCTGGAATTTTTCCCGCTGGATTCCCAGAATTCCCAGAACTTTTCCCACAGAATTCCCGGAATTTTTCCCGCTGGATTCCCAGCATTCCCGGCCTCACCTTTCCGGGATTCCCAGGGGATCCTCCTGAGGCTCTGGCGGAGCCTCTGGAATTCCCAGCCCACGGAATCGCTCAGGGCCACGGCGTCGAATTCCAGGCATCCCGAAATTCCCAAACTTCCAGAGGGATCCCGAGCCAGGAGAAATCCCAAGGGGGGGCACCTGGATCGGGAAAATCCCAAAATTCCATCAAAATCTGCAGGATTTTCCCATTTTTCCCCAAATTTCTCCTGATTTCCCCCCATTTTCCCCACAATTCCTTCCCCAAGTTTTCCAAAATTCCCATTTTTTTCCCCCACTATCTTCCAGAATTCCCCAGTTTTCCACAATTCCCAATTTTCCCCATGGATTTCCCATTTTTTTCTCCAAATCCCCAAATTTTTCCCCAATTTTTCTCCAAATCCCCAAATTTTTCCCCAATTTTTCCCAGAATTCCCCAATTTTTACCCCCACTTTCCCCAGAATTCCCCAATTTTTCCAGAATTCCACCATTTTTACCCCAAATTCTCCTGGAATTCCCCAATTTTTCCCAAATTTTCCCAGAATTCCTCAATTTTTACCCCAAATTCCTCAAGTTTTTCCAAATTTTCTCAGAATTCCCTGTTTTTTCTCACAAATTTTCCCAGAATTTCTGTTTTTCCCCAAATTTCCACAGAATTCCTCAATTTTCACCCCAAATTTTCCCAGAACTCCCCAATTTTGATCCCAAATTTTTCCAGGATTCCTCAATTTTTACCATAAATTTTCCCAAATTCCCCAATTTTAACCCCAAATTCTCCCAGAACTTCCCAATTTTTACCCCAAATTCCTCAAGTTTTCCCAAATTTTCCCAGTATTCCCCAATTTTCCCCAAATTTCCCATAATTCCCCAATTTTTACTCCAACTTTTCCCAAAATTCCTCAATTTTTCCCAGATTTTTCCAGAATTCCTCAATTTTCACCATAAAATTTTCCCAAAATTCCTCTTTTTTCCCAACTTTTCCCAGAATTCCCCAATTTTAACTCCAATTTTGCCCAGAATTCCCCAATTTTTACCCAAATTTCCCTGAACTCCCCAATTTTTACCCCAAATTCCTCAAGTTTTCCCAAATTTTCCCAGTATTCCCCAATTTTCCCCAAATTTCCCATAATTCCCCAATTTTTACTCCAACTTTTCCCAAAATTCCTCAATTTTTCCCAGATTTTTCCAGAATTCCTCAATTTTCACCATAAAATTTTCCCAGAATTCCACAATTTTCCCCCAATTTTTTTCCCAGAATTCCCAATTTTTCCCAGAATTCCCCCATTTTTCCCATTTCTCCCCAAATTTCCCGATTTCCCCCCAATTCCCACCGGATTTTCCCCCAAATTCTCCCAAAATTTCGCAGAATCCCCCAATTTTCCCCCGTTTCCTGCCCCAAAACCCCCGGGAATTCCGGGAATTCCGGGAATTCTCACCCCCGCGCCGCTTCCCGGAGCGCCGCCCCGGAATTCCCGGGAAATCGGATCCGGCAGCGGGAACGGACCGAGGGCAAAAGCTCCAGGAATTTCTTGGGATGGAGCTCCAGGAGGCACAGGAGGGTCTCGATCCCTGCGGGAAAAGTGGGAATTCTGGGGAAATCTGGGAAAAATTTGGGGATCTGGGAAGAGAATTCGGGAAAATTTGGGAGAATTGTGGAGATTTGGGGAAAATTTGGGGGGAAATTGGGGAAAATGAAGGGATTTGGGAAAAATTTGGGGGAATTTTGGGAAAGATGGGGGGATTTGGGAAGAGAATTTGGGAAAATTGGGAAGAAATTGGGGAGATTTGGGGATAATTTGGGAGATTCGGGGAAAAATTGGGGAAAACAAAGGGATTTGGGGAAAAATTGGGGGAATTTGTGAAAAAAATGGGGAATTCTGGAAAAGTTGGAGAATTTGGCAAAAGAATTTGGGAAAATTGGGGAGATTTTGGAGAAATTTAGGGGAATTTGGGAGATTTGGGGGGAATTTGGGAGATTTGGGGGATTTGGGAAGAGAAATTGGGAAAATTTGGGAAAATTGGGCAGAAATTGGGGAAAAACTGGGGAAAATGAAGGGATTTGGGAAAAAATTGGGGAAATTTGGGGGGAAAATGGGGAATTCTGGAAAAATTGGGGAATTTGGCAAAAGAATTTGGGAAAATTGAGGAGAAATTGGGGAAAAATGAAGGGATTTGGGAAAAAATTGGGGGAATTTGCAAAAAAAATGGGAATTCTGGAAAAGTTGGGGAATTGGGCAAAAAAATTTGGGAAAATTGGGGAGAATTGGGGAGAACTGGAAAAAATGAGGAAAATGGGAAAAAAATGAAGGGATTTGGGGGAAATTGGGGGAATTTGGGAAAAAATGGGGAATGCTTAAAAAATGGGGGATTTGGGAAGAGAATTTGGGAAAACTGGGGAGAAATTGGAGAGATTTGGGGGGAATTTGGGAGAAATTGGAAAAAATGAAGGGATTTGGGGAAAATTAGGGGAACTTGGGAAAAAATGGGGGATTTGGGAAAACAATTTGGGAAAATTGGGGAAAAATTGTGGAAAAATGGGGGAAATGGGAGAAATGTGGGGAAAAACCGGAGGAGTTTGGGGAAAAAATGGAAAAAATGATGGGATTTGGGAAAAAATTGGGGAAAATTGAAAAGAAATTTTGAAAAGATTTGGGAAAGAATTGGGAAATTCTGGAAATATTTGGAAAAAAATGGAAGAATCCTGGGAAAGTTGGGGAAAATCTTAGTTGTTGGAAAATTGGGGTATTCTAAAAAAATTCTGGAATTCTGGAAAAATTTAGGAAAAATTGGCATATTTAGGAAAAAATGGGGAATTCTGGGAGAATTTGGGATAAAAATTAAGGAAATCTGGGAAAATACGGGAAAAATTGGGGAATTTTGGGAAGGTTTGGGGCAAAAATTGGAGAATTCTGGGAAAATTTGGGAAAAATGGGGAGATTGAAAGGAAAATAAGGGGATTTTGAGGAATAAAATTGGAAAAGTTTGGGGAAATTGGGGGAGAAACTGGAAAATCTCAAGAAAATTTTGAGTATTTGGGAAATTCCCTGAAAAGAATTTTTAAGAAAAAATTGGGGAATTTTGGGAAACTTGCGGAAAAATTTGGGAAGAAATTGCAGAAAATGGAGGAATTTCAAGGGAATTTGGGAGCCAGGTGGGAAAAAATTTGGAAAAAATTGGATTTTGGGGATCTGGGACTGGAATTTTAGGAGTTGATTCCCAATTTTTCACCCTCTTCCCGAAGATCCAAGGTTTCCACCAATTCCTGGATGGGGATGCAGCGCTCGTGGCCGCGGCAGATCCGGGGATTTTTTGGGAATTCCGGGGTTTCCTGTGGGGAAAAAAAATCTTCAGAATTCCAACATTTCCTTCATTTGAAATTCCCACTTTTTTTGTTGTGTTTAATGGGATTCAAACCTTGGAGTTTTCCTGGTTTTTTCCATGGATTTCCAGGCATTTACAAGGAGCAAAAACCCTTTGGATCAAGATCTTGACAGCCAAAAAATCCACGGAATTCTCATGGATGTGGCGGCGTAATTCCAGAAGATCCTGGCCCTGGGGGGGGGGAAAAGAGGAAATTAATGGAATAATCAACATTTTGGGAATTTCTTCCCCAAAATTTGGACCAAATCCCTCAAAATTCTCCCCAAACCAAATTTCCTCCCAATTTTTCCAGAATTTTCAAATTTTTTTTCCTGAATTCCCCAAATTTCCTTGAAATCCCCTCATTTTTCCCAAGTTTTCACACTTATTCCCCAATTTTTTCCCCCAAATGTTTCCTAGAACCCCCAAATTTTTCCAGAATTCCCATATTTCCCTCTCAATTCCCCAAATTTCCTTGAAATTCCCTCATTTCCCTGGACTTTTCCAGAATTCCCCAATTTCTCTGCAAATTTCTATTTTTCCCATTTATGCCTCAAACTCCCCAGTTCTTCTTGAAATCTCAGTTCTCCCAATTTCCAAGAATTCCCCAATCTTTTCCATAATTTTTTCCTAGAATTCCCCAATTTTGTCCAAATTTTCCCAAATTTCCTTCCCCAAATTCTCCCAGAATTTCCTAATTTTTTCCTTAAATTTTCCATAATTCCCCAGTTTTTCCCAAAATCTCCCAGAATTCCTCTATTTCCCCCTTAAATTTTCCCAGAATTCCCCAATTTTCTGCCCAAAATTTCCCTATTTTTTCCTCAAATTTTCCCAGAATTCCCCAATTTTTACCCCAAATAATTTCCAAAAAAATTCCCAAATTTTCCCCCCAAATTTCCCAAAAATTCCCAAATTTTTTCTTAAATTTTCCCAGAATTCCCCAATTTTTTCCTGAAATTTTCTCAAAATTCCCCATTTTTTCCCAGAATCCCCCATGTTTTTCCCAGAATCCTCCATTTCCCCCAGAATCCCCCATTTTTCCCAGAATTCCCCAATTTTCTCCCCCAAATTTCCCTATTTTTTCCTCAAATTTTTCCAGAATTCCCCAATTTTTACTCCAAATAATTTCCCCAAAAATTCCCCAATTTTCCCCCCAAATTTTGCCAAAATTTCCCCAATTTTCCCCCAAATTTCCCCAAAAATTCCTGCATTTTTTCCTTAAATTTTCCCAGAATCCCCCATTTTCTCCCAGAATCCTCCATTTTTTCCCAGAATACCTCATTTTTTCCCAGAATTCCCCATTTTCCCCAGAATTCCCCAATTTTCTCCCC